GATGCACAACAGCACACATACACAACTGCACGCGTTCAAATGTACACTATACACTTACACACACACACACATAGAGAGAGACAGAGAGAGATAGAGAGATAAAGAGAAACACACACGTAAACAATTTAATTTGTTCAAGGGGATTTTAATTGGGTTCCACAACTGGAATGTCAATTATATTGACGCTAATTTTCTTTGCCCCCAAACCTAATCAGAGAGCCGAACAGAAGAAATAAACAAGCGCACACGTTTCGCGTAATCAACGAACGAAACAAAAATGAAACAAATGAAAAACGAAAATGGAATAAAACGTCGTTTCGGACGTTCAAATCAAATCCTCCAACTAAAACTAATGGAGTAGGCTTCGCGTTGCATCATTTTTGTATTTCGCATTTATTTATTTTTTTTTGCGAAAGCCCGTCGGTTCGGGGTATTAAGCGCGTATAATTCGATATAGATTTTTTTCGTTTTAACATTTCCACGTAATTGGCTCTAATCACGCTAAACCGAATGGAAAATTCTGCGCGCAAAGACAAAAACAAAACAAATGAATTACAACAATAGAAACAAAAAAAGATTTGCTCGATTGTTTTTACGATTCGTTTTTGTTTAACTTCGAATTACATGTACAAATTAATATCTTCAGTGTCAAATTATCTAGTATTACTTTTGTTCATAATCAATTTACGAATTACCATGTTTACATGTCAATTAAACAAAAAGTGTATTCAATTCTATCAAATTTCATATTTAAAAAAAGCTTTTAGGTTTTACGCAAATCCAATTTATTGAGATGTTAGAACAAACATTTCAGATGATGATGATAATTGAAAATTTGCTATCTCGTTGCATTGGATTGCGATGGAGAGAATTAATTGATGGAATGTTACAAAGGAATGGAATTTGAATACGTAATTGATCATTAAAGTGTAACAGATTCAATATTTGCATGCTGCGGTTGATGAATGCGATTAAATCCGCCACGCGAATCCCCGAAATTCAAACAGGCTTTAATTATTTCTTGCTTGTTTTCCGTCATAGAGGAACGAACGGTCGGTTTATTGGTGGTGGTGGTGGTGGTGCGGACCCATTATGTAATTGATGGTGCGCGTATTATGCACTGTTTGCTTACATAAGTGGAATTGAGTGTTTGAGTATCATCGAGGAGGGCCAAATCGGACGTGCGTTTTGTTGTAAGTGGGGCTTCGGAACGAGTGATTAGTTACATTATATGTACATAATGGGAACTGAGGGGCCGGGAGAGCGCAAACAACCCCCACGAGAAACCACCGCATTCTGCTGAAGCCAGAGAGAGAGATAGATGGATACAAACGCACTCGAGAGGGTAGAAAAGCAAGAGAACGAGATAGAGATAGAAAGTAGGGGAGACCCCTAAGTGTACTTTTATATTGATGGGGTGTTAACAAGCGAGTAACGAGCCCGGCCACCCTTATTTAATCGCACAAAACAATCCGCGTCGAGCGCAAATTAGTCTTACCAGGGGTAGTAGAGAAGACAATTAATTTACACTACCGATCGACAATTAGGAAAGATCTACCAAATAATACCGAATCGCAAACTAATAACTTGAAATAGAGCATAGAGATTTAATAGTTTGTTAACTCTTTGTTTATAATACTTTGGAGCTGAATACAAGTGGGCTTTGGGCACACACTCTTATTTTTTTGTTTGTTTTACTACTAATTGGGATACGCCAACCTCTCCATCCCTCCATCATCGTTATTATTGTTTTGCATCGGCGATAACATGTATGCAAACAATAAACACCCTTTCCACACACACACACACACATTGTTCCTTCATTAATAGCTGTTGAACGAGAGCGTGTGTTTGTGTGTATGTTTGTGCGCGCGTTCGTCGCGGAATAAAGACTTCATTGTGGATGGTCTCCGTACTAATTGCATTCATTCATTATTCAACGAGAACAATTAAAACGCAATACATTTATTTACTTATAATTCCCCACCCCTTTTGTCAACAACGACAATAACAGCACAACGCAAACTTAGAAAAAAAAAAACCTTACAAGTTAGCAACTTAAAATTATGTAATATTTGAACAGCGTAACAGTTGTAATTTTTATGTATAAAGCGTCCATCTCAACCATAGCAACTTATTACTTCACATTACAAATTAGTATTTATTTCGTTTTGCTTAGGTGTTGTGTTAAAACTAACGTTGTTTTTATTGGTAAAGAGTTCTTGGATACTTTCAAACTTTACAACTTTTAAGAAAACTTTGCATATCTCGCCGCAGTAAGTGAAAAGGCCAAAGGGGAGAAGTGGTAAGCCATTTTGCAAATTTGCCAAGTTAGGCCAATAATAGCGACGGATCTGGCAACGCCGTGTTAGCATATTACCCCAAGTGCGTGCGCGTGATTCAATTTTTTTTATTGCGGGGGCGGTGGGTTGGCAATAAATAAATAAACGACTGCCGAGAATCGGTTTTGCTGGAGGCGGGGGATGCGAGGTATGGCGGAGCATGAACAGAAGAAGTAGTAGCAGCAGGATGAGGAGGAGGAGACGGTGGCGGTGGCGGCTGCGACGTCGGGGGTGGCGGAGTCTCTTTGTGAATGCATTAGATACATAGTGGGGTGTCCCGGGGGAGCGGCCATATGCATTCCGATATACACGGCCCCCGTCGTTGCCCTGGCAACCCCGATGTCGGGGGGACGCCATTGGACGATTACGTTTCACCCCTTTTCGGCGGATTTCCGCGTACTCCTGCACAGGCCTGTAAAACCAAAAACCGACTCCACTGCCACCTCCGCAAACTCTTACCACTTAACAACTCTGATTCGGCTTCGCGAAACAAAGAAAAGCTTCAGCAAACAACTTCAGCTTTTATTTATATCGTTGTCATGGCATTCCGATACAAGTCAAATCTAACAAACAAATCTAACTGCGAACAGCTATTAACGCAGCAAAAATTTCCCTTTTAATCATAAACATGAAACCCAAAACAAAAATATACGATCGAAACTAAATAAAAATGATACGTAACAACAAACTACGATATATATGTAGAGAGAAAAAAAACTGTGTATCATCGAATGATGATACAACACACAGCACAAAGCGAATGAAAACAGGACGAAACGGGAGGGAAATTTGCATTTTTCATTCGCCGCCGGTTAGTTAGTAATAATAAAATGTGCAGCGCGGCTAAAGTGAAATATGAATAATAGAGTGATCGCGTTTTTATACAGGGCTGGTAAAAAAAATATACGCGCAAATAAAAGAAGAAGAAGATATATCAGCGAAGAGCAGAACGAACTCCTTCCTCACTCACAGCGAAAGATCCATTATTCTCGAACATTAATTATTCAATGCTCGTTTAAAACCGTCAGATGTAAATATTGTATATAAGTGTAAACCCGTTTTACGATGTAATTCGTACACTATTTGCTTAAATACGTTTCGTTTTACTGTTACGTCGCTTTGAGTTTTGCAGAAAACTATACAATTTTTCTCATTTTTTAAGCTTTATAAAATTTAAGTAATTTTATGATTTTTGGAAAAAATGTTTAATAAAAATCCATTGTTTCACCCTGTATAATATAAAGCTGTGAATGAATATATTATATTGTTGACTAAATTGCGCTCATTTGCATGCATCCTCTGATATAACAGATATAACCGAACGAAACTACATTTTATGATCGATGAGTTCGGTGGCGGCAGCGGCGGCGGCGCCGGGGCCCAGCTGAATAATTTAATTTAATTAATGACATTTTCATTTAATAACTGAAAGCGCGAATTATTTCCATGCATTTCGCGCACAGATTACACATATGGGGGCGGCGAGTTTTCAAAACTCGCCGCCCATTCGATAATATGCGAACGCGCGCTATTAATTAATAAAACGTTGATTTTCGCATTGAATGATTTATAGAAATATACGCGAGTTTTGTCGTTTCGATGAATAGGAAATTCGGTTGCTGTTGCAAAAATAAAAATAAAATTTAAACAAAATTTTAACAAAAAAAAGAAGCTCTCTTTTCGTCGCATTACGCCTTCCGAGGGGGGTTTGATTGTGGTGGAAAAGGGGAAAGAAAGAGAGAGCTTTCGGTTGCGGGTGGGTGGCGGTTTGTTAGCTGTCACTGGTATGTTTTCCGAGGGCTTTCCCGACTGAACGCCACCGACAACTTAAGTATTATTGAATTTTCCAACTTTTAAGACTGTCGCTGGATTTTCGCAAGGGCGCCGTGTGCTCCTTCTCCTTCCCTCGATATTTGAAGCAACGCAATTTTTGGGGATAGGGTACGGTCTTATATCCAAAAAAAACAAAAAAAAATAGACAATCTGGTCTCTAGATGTAGGAAGAAAGGAAAATAAGGGAGGTGTTGTGTTCGCACGGTTCACGTAATTTGCGTGCATGTGCGGATTCGGGTCCTGAGGGCATTCCTGCGGGTGGTGTGTATTAGATTGAGCCGGCAATTAGTGCGGCTAATGAGGCCCTGCGGAACAATTACACTCATCGCGACCCTTTGAACCACCTGGATGATGGTGAATCTCCACCCTTCCCAGCTCCAGCACACAATTAACACTTGCTCTCTCATACACACACCAACATAGATACATACGTGCACACACTCTCTTCATTCGGGAAGCTCGACTCGGGGCCAGAGAAAAGCAGAAACAGAAAGAAGGCACGCTTTTAACCCCTCGACAAACTTCATTAATTCAATTCCCCGAGCAAACTTGGAAGACCTCACCTTGGGAGGAGAGATGACGAACCAAAATGATACAAGAACAAGAGAAAAAGAAATACGCACATACACATCCATAAACACAGGAAACAACAACATTCGAAATCTCTCTAGGCTACCAGTCATTGAGAACGAACAAGAGATTTTCGAGAAGGCACGCTTAACGAGAGAAACTCGAATTTGAAAACGTACAGTCTGCAATTCGTTATTCTTACGTGCAAATGATATATAGTTTTCTTGTTCAAATTTAAGTTGTGAATCGACATACCTGAACTCGAGCTTCCGTCAAATTGATTTTCATGGCCAGATCTTCTCTGGTGAACACGTCCGGATAATGGGTTTGAGCGAAGGCCGTCTCCAGTTCCTCCAACTGCAATTTAACGCAAAAAAAAAACACATATTTCTAATCGATGTTTCTCAGATAATCGAACAATAATAATTGCTATCAATATTATTATTTACCTGTTGAAGGGTGAACGTGGTGCGATTACGGCGCTGCTTGCGTCGCACGAAAGTATCGTCATGGATGGCCGGATGGTAGGAGTAGCTCGTATCTGCAAAAACAAAAACAAAAATAATTACAAATAATTATCAAGCAAACCCAACGAACAAACGCCATCTGCAGAGATTAATTAAAACCCCATTGCTAATTCAACGAAAATTTGTCCAATGCTGTAATCTTATAATCCGCGCTCGCACCGAATTAAAATCCCCCGCATTCGAAGATTCCCCGGGTTTATTTCGAAACGGACCTCTCCCTCCCCCAGCGCAAATTTCAAATATTCAACAGCGACTGCCGCACGCCAAAAAACGGAAGAACGGGCATTATTATCGATTTAATATTAAAATCGGATTAACCGAAACGAACGAACGGAACACCAACAAACAGATAATTGAAAAATTTCGGGCATTCAAAATGCGTTAGCACCGAAATCTTTGTTACGTTAAAAAAATATTAACAAATCCATAATACATGCATGTTCATAATCCAATCATCATCATCATTGCTTTCATATTTCTTCTACGCAGATCAAAGGAACGTAATAATTATTTAAAAAATAAATCTAATTCCATCTCTTTTGCTTTTCGGCCTAAATTGATTTCTACGATTGCCGCGAACTTCTCACTTAATTTTCGAACTTTTCCTTCTGCGTAAAAGGGAGAGAGTGAGAGAAGGTCCGATTAAAATTGCACGAGGAGTGGGAGGTGTTGGGTAAAATACCCCGAGAGATAATTCCAATTAATTAACAATTTACATATTTTCGGTTTTAATTAAGGCATTCCGCGGGATTAGCTGCCGACGTCGAAAATATTACATTATTCATTGATTTCTTTTTTCACTCAGAGTCTCCGAGTTTTCGCTAAATATTAAAGACATTTCAAGTCAACCGAAAGTGTAGAATGCAAAGAAATTGGTTAAAGTTTGAAAAGTTATTTACAAGCTCGTGTTCCATTCCTTCTTTTTTTTTTCCTAATTAAGTTACAATTATATATATATGAAATGGAGTTGCCCAAGTGTTATTCAACACCTAATTGTTATTATGAGAATGCACCTGATGTGAATTGATATTAGAGGTGTTTATCAACAAATGTGATAATTGCATTGTATATATAAAGTTGACTGTACAATTGACTCTCCTTAATCCTGCGGGGACGTCTGCTCTCGTGAAGAGGTCCCGTAAATCGGCCCGTATTCCTGCGGTGATGCCGTGCGCGGTGAAAGTAAATAAAGATTAAAATTTAATGGAACTTGCGAACGTATTGAATGGGGGATGGATGAAGGAATCCCCAGCGCGTTACCCATCCACCTACATTAAATGCACACGGAGAGAGCATAAAACTAATTCCGCCAATAAAGATTCTCCCGCGCCCCCATGAGACTTTCATTCCTCCTCCTCTCGCTCTCCCCCACACACAACAGATACAGATAATTACGGTGCTAGTCGAGGAGGCAAAGAACAAAGCCGAAAACTGTTTATCCGTATACCTTTATATACATATATATATTTGCTTTCTCGCGATTTAATCCGACCGAGAAATCCAGATTGTACGCGTCGGAATGTGTCGCCTCGCATTCCGGGCCGCGCCGTTCGGGGCGGCCCGTGTCAAAGGTCGGACCCGTGGCGCCCTCTAATAAGCCGCTCCCAGACATCTCGAATGATATTCAATTGTTTCGATACGAATCGATATCGAAAGAGTGATCACAAGGAGTAGCCGAATTACCGCCGAAACCGTAAATTATCAACGAGCAAGAGATTTGAAAGGAGGGTCGTCCACCCTCTCTCATTCTCTTGATTAGGATTACCAGTCCATTATTAGATGTGCGGGAATAATGGGAAATTGGGTGCCAAATGGACGCGTTTTCATTACTCGCAGAGATCCCAATTGATTCCTGGCTGAACTCCCCCCTACTCGCAGAAGAAAAATAGATGATTTCGGTATGAGGCAGACAGGAGAGTGCGAAATTATTAATAGCCGATTCCTTATTTGACGCCATCCAGTTATCGCATTGACACTGACGACGACCCACGCGTAATCTGATTTCCGCAAACAGAAAACGTACGTCATGTTTCGTTCGAAAATTGATGAAACATCTTTCGTAACGATAAATCAATGTACAACCTTTATATAACTTGATTTTGAATCCGGAATGTCCAAAGCTATTATCAAAAATAATAATACAAATATGAGTGTATTGTTTTTGCAAATTAAAGATGAAATTATAAGGAATGTGATGATGTTATTGAGTACAATGGAATTTTCAATTTATCGATTGAAGTTGGTAACTTCGTTGTTTAGAAACAGAATTGTGTTATAAACAATTGAAGATCAATAGCCATGGCTCGTCGAAAACGGAATCATCGAATTTTCTCGCAGTGGAGGGGCGAAAAGAGAGAAAGAGAGAAGAGAAAAATCCAAAAGGAAAATCACAATTGCCATATCGAATTACTGAATTTGCGTCTTTCCATTTCGACGTTCCGCTCTCCTCCTTGACGGGCGTCGCGCTCCGAGGCTGATTTAATTCGATTTTGATTTGGGCTGCAGAGTGGCGGTCGATTTGCATTTTCGAGGGTTGGATGGAATGATACGAAACGAAACGGCACAATCCTCTACTTTTTATATGTGTGTGTGCGAGTGTATATACATATAATGGCACTCGTTCTCTTCTGCTCTTCAGAATCGCCCTACGGGGGCGTGGGCGCTCTTTCACTCCTGCATTATGCAATCGGATGGTAAATTTGGGGTTTCGATTATCCGACCCCGATGCCGACAATAAATAAATTTAGCGAAAAAAAAAAGAGTCACCCTTTCGTCTCTTCTGACGACGCAATCGATGCGCAATTTGAAGTCCACTTTAAATTTTTACCACCCTCCAAAAAAAAAACATTGAATATTTCAATGAGCGCATTTATTATAATTCTATTATCACGTATTTGACTATTGTCTATCCTACCTCTTTCAATCTTAGAGATATATACAAATATTTCAAGATATTGCTTAAAATTTCATCATTTCAAGATTAAACACTTAATCGTAATGAAATTATCCATATATACTCTTGATATTCTGTACAGTTTCTTCTTTAATATGAAATTTTACTATTTACTTTATCTTTACCAATACTCCATGGTTCATCCATAAGCAAGCTAACATCAGTTTCGTCAAGGAATAAATAGGAAAGGCTAGCACAAGATACCATAATCGGCTAGAGAATCACCCAAACCAACTGGCTATGGAGCTGATGCATACTGCAGAGCATCGTCGAAGATTGAAGAGATTCAAACCACAAGATTTACCAAACCGATTTTAAATATTGACTATTAATGTGTGCAAGTGCATAAAAAATTAACGTATATGTATAAGTGGGGTTGCTGGATCTTCACTTCATTAATTATTATTATAGTGACCCTTTTAACTTACTTTACGACATTCATAAGGCTAGATATCAATGTCAGATGATAGATTGCATTAAAAATAATTAAAAAAAAAACTTTATCTTTAACTGTATTCAAGTTATATACTAAAATGTGAAGATTCAGCTCAATATTTTGTCATTTAAAAAATTAGCATATGATTACTTGAATATAAAAATATAGTGATGCAATTACACATTCCCTATAATGTCTCGTTTAATATACATATTCAATGTGCATTGAATATACCGAGCGGATTTCAAATGCAAATGACGTAAGAGGGGTCGGAGCAAACAAAAGAGTTCGGTGGCGTGGGTCCGCCTCCGCGGGGGTTGGCCAACTATAATCCGGTAATGATACGGCGATGATGATGATGGTGTGGCATTAAGTACTTACAGGGATGCGTCGAGCTGAAGGGGTAGTCGAGCTGCGGGAGTCGCGGCTGCGGGGCTCCGGGGTGCAGGGCCGGAGGGCAGTGGTAGCAGAACATGCCGCGACCGCCACCGCCGCCTCCGATCTGAAACAATCCAGACAAACGAAATCAGACAAATGAAAGAACAAACTGTAATTACAATCATCACACATAATGCTAAATATTACTCACTCACTCACTCATGCCGAATTGCATGCTGTCAACCAACCAACCCCCGATAATTCCCGGGGTTGGCTTCTCAATTTCACCGTTGCGCGCAAACCTGCACTTATCCCTTACGCATACTGCGATCTTAATTCGATAATCATCCCTGACAAAACCCCTCGAATTAGATTAAAGCAATTTATGCGAATCGCATATTCAATTGAAATTGTACGCAAGTAATCAGTTCTTTTCAGATCATGATTATCAACTTAAGACAATTAATTCAACTTTTATTTTGCAAATAAGTGACTTTCTTTTAAATTGTATTGCAAAGTTTTTGATTTATACAACATCAACATCTGTAGAAAAACAAACTGTATTGAAACTTAATTAGAAAGAGAATTTGAAATTGTACGCAAGTAATCAGTTCTTTTCAAGTCATGATTATCAACTTAAGACAATTAATTCAACTTTTATTTTGCAAATAAGTGACTTTCTTTTAAATTTGTATAGCAAAGTTTTTGATTTATACAACATCAACATCTGTAGAAAAAGAAACTGTATTGAAACTTAATTAGAAAGAGAATTTGAAATTGTACGCAAGTAATCAGTTCTTTTCAAGTCATGATTATCAACTTAAGACAATTCAACTTTTATTTTGCAAATAAGTGACTTTCTTTTAAATTTGTATAGCAAAGTTTTTGATTTATACAACACCAACATCTGTAGAAAAAGAAACTGTATTGAAACTTAATTAGAAAGAGAATTTGAAATTGTTATTATTGAAATTGCTATAATTATCATCTTATTATCACTTAATTGTATCAATTAAATGATAACAGAAATATGTTTAAACGATCTGAATTGAAAGTGTTGGTAAATCAATTGATAAACAATTTCAAGAATTGCGAAACAACTGAAATCGCGTGTCAATTGATTGCATTTGTCAAGATGGCGGGTAGGTGTCAAAAGGTGGAGCGGCGCATCGCAGTGGTGCGCGTTTGATTTTATTCGAATTTAATTGAGCGTCCGGATTTATGTCGCTCCTCGTTCGCACACACCATTTGCTAGTGTTATTATTGTATTATTGTGAATGCGAACAGCGCTGCTTGTTTAGCATTTATATATGGAGAGAGGGTGCAGAGCGAAATTGGCCACCATCCATCCAACAATCCATACATCGCACCCCTAGCTCGAACCTCCCTCCAGCACGGTGCATCGCATTTGCCGTGCCAATTAGTCATTACACGCTCGAACGCAGAGACAAACACCAACTGTTAACTTGTCGTGATTTCGACACCTCACCGAAGAACCACAAACGACAACGATAAAACACGTCAATCCAATGACACGCTTCAGTTCGTACATTGTTTTTTTTTTTGCTGCAAACAATCACAACTTTAATTGTAACGTCATTAAATCCGAAACAAAACGTCAATGTCAAATTGAAATCATGGCGTAATCTGCTAGGCTTTGACAGTAAAACAATTGATTATCGAATGTGAATTAATAATATACGAAATGATTTCAAACTTGATTCCTACGAATGTAGGTTGCTGCTGTCTGCTAAATCTGACTTGCGTTGCGTTGCATTGCAGCGGAAGTGGCGAAAAATTTAAATTGTCGCCTGCGTTTTCGCACTCTTCTCTTGCGGACGGGGTGCAGGGAGGGAAGGGGGGGTTTTAGTGACGGACGAGGAGGATGTGTTTATTAATATCATAATCATAATTGGCGTAATGGGCATAATACAATCACACGGACACACAGCGCGAATTAGGTTCTTCTTCGCGCTGTGGGACAGCGGCAAATTCAAAATTCGAAACATCTCTCGTCGTTTACGTTCAAACGCACATCATATGAATTATCATGTCGGTTACATCGGTTCAATTAACAGCGAATTAATTCTGATTAAGTTAACTATCGTATTAAGCGGTGGTGTACATGCATGCATGTATGTATGTATGTGACATCACGAGATGCCAATTAAAACGACCGTATACATATTCACTACACGCATCTCATCTCTTTCTGCTTCTTTGTCTCTTCATCTCTTCATCTTTTCGTGTTAACAATACCAACATAAAGATAAAACTCCACGACCACCACGAATCCCAATAAAATCATCATCAACCGAATTAGAGCAATTAAAGCATTTATTTACACATGCTTACATTACATTTAAAGGGCAAGGAGAAACAACTGTTACTGAGAAAACGCAATTCACGAGAAATAAGAATATTCGCTTCATTGTATTAATCAACACTTAATACTTAATAATTTTCTTTCATTTGTTTGAAATAATTAAGTTAAACAAGTAAAGTTAAAGAAAAGCCGATCGCACTGTTGTTATCGTTTTTTTTTTTTCGTCGAGGCAGATATGGATTTTGTGTAATTGCAAATTAATGTCGAGCGTAATTGGAATTTCAGTAATATGCGGGATATATGTAGTATATATAATATTAGTTGGTTTATGTATGGAAGTGTGGGACGGGTTTGCGCGCTTCCTATTACTTCCACGTATTAATTCCAGCGGAGATGATTAGAGCCAATTAGGCGTAATAATAATTAGGATCGGTGGCAGGCATAAACTGGGTGTCAGTAATAATATAATAATGCAAATGAAGTCCCTCATCCTCTGATATGGAACGCGAAGTCCGGATCTGCGGATCCGCCTCGCGTTCTCTCTCACTCACTCACTCATTCATTCATGCACAATCTACTTCTCTTTCTCTCTGGCATGTACATCCTTCCTTCTCGCTTTGCTCGGTTCGTTCGTATACACACATACAGTGCGCTCTATGGCATTCATTCCACTTGACGATAATTGATTTGCATGCCCCATATTGTATGTCAAAAGCGAAAACTAATCTAAATCAAACTAGAAGCGTCCTCTGCTCTCTCTCCTTTTGTCATTTCTGTCCTCTAATCCGTTTACCGCGCCTCGTTCCTCTTCCTCCACCTCCAACCAATCTACACGCAACTGTTACCATTTCGCTCTCATTCTTGATCATCTTTCAAACTACAATTAAATAAAACACATTTGCTTCAATATTAGAAATTTGTTTTCGAAAACATTTTGTCACGAAACTTTCTTCAGCAATAAACAAAATTCCATTGATTTTTGTATATTTATAACATTGAAATTTGTGAATATTTAGAGAGTCTGTAAAATGTTTTTTTTTTCACTTAATTCTTGCGAAAGAGATGAGAAGTTTTCCACCGCAAAATTGGGTTTGGGTTTTGCGATCTCAGGTGTTCGGGGCACCGACGAGGCCTGCCATTAATATCAATGAAGGCTGTACGCGGTGCAAGTGTACACGTACACGTAGTACACAACATCGTGCACGGTAGGATGGAGGGAAAGGTTGAGGTGGATTTTGCGTGCGAGATGAATCATTAGCATATTAGATTTGCGCGCCCGATCTCTTCTCCCCCAAAATTGCGATCATCTCACTCACTCACTCTCTCTTTTTATTCAATCTCTCTCACTCACTCTCGCTGCTTAAGCTCAGAGATAAAACAGCATCCATCCATGTGTATGTATGTATGTGTGTGATTAGTGCACTTATGTAGGCCGAAGGCCCTCAGGGACACCCGAACGCCTAATCCAATTACATCCCCTATGATCAACTTACTGCTGCTAGCTACTACCAACAGTTTTTTTTTCTCCTCTCATTCCTTCCTTTTCCTCTCGCCCATCCGCAAATCCACCGTATGTCACGCACCGAACTTCAATACTCTCACACACACACACACTAATTCGGGCAACCCAATTATCGCAAAATAATCATCGCGTCGGTGGAAAGGCAGAAAAAAAAACCAAACGCCATCGGACAGGGGTGGGTGCCACCGAAAACACCTAAGTCCGCTTAATCTAATACACTAATAAGCCGTGACAATCGATCGGCCAATAATTCCCTTTGCTCCCTTGGAAACGTGCAGTAATTTGTAAATTTGTTTATAACCATGGTAACATTTCAGATGAATTCAACTTTTACGAAGCTCTGGATTAATGTTGAAATTTATATGAATTAGCAAAATGCAAATAACCGGAAACGCGGACTCTTTGTTGTACATTTTTTTTGTTTGTCTTCTTCGATACATTTTCCACCCGCGTTGAATAATTAAGCTCGAGCTCGTTTTATGAACGCATTTATTTTTATTAAATAATATAAATAATGGATTTTAATCATTTACGCGTAATTCGAAAATTGCCATCCGATAAATTGCAAATTACGTTGGGCGCATTACCAATTATCGCGAATATTTTGTTTCGCAATTACTCAACAATTATTTAATAATCTGTGATTTCAATATAATATAGATGCAAAAGTTAAATTTATATTTTCTATAGATTTAATTTACTATTAATTAACTATAATCTTGTTTCAATTAACTTAAAAGTATAGATTATACATTAAAGTAATTGAATAAGTATTAATAGATGTAATATATTTAACATCACTCACGTCATTCAAAATGTTACCAATATCAAAACAAAAAAAACGTACGGAAAACCAACCGAATATAATCAAATTATTAAACTAGGAGAAAAAAAGCAAATCAATTAAAACAACGTTAAAAGACAATTGAGTAATTCAAGGGTGTCGGAATTTAGAAAAAAATAGACGATTGAAAATAGTAATAAAAAAAAAGCAGCGTTAAATGCAGGTTGGCTGTGGGTTTGGATGCTAATAGATGCCGTTTTTTTTTTATTGTCGAAGGGATTCGATGAAAAAGCAATCAATGGGAAGGGCTTTAACGGCCTCTCTCTCTCTCTGTATACTGCAGTGCTCGCAACAGCCTGTTTTATGATTATTTCGGGTGTCAATTGAGGCCGTTCGGTTTTGATTGAGGCCAAAACGGCTGTATGAGTGTGTAGTATACACGTACACAAATGTGTGTGCGCGCGTGTATTTATGTGTGAGTTTCGATGGTGGCAACACAAACAGTTCAATTCGCTTCATTCCAGGGGACATTAATAGAGACATATCACTCGTTTCATTTATTGACCCTACAAACGACAACCATATCTTTCTCTCTCTCACGCAAACACTTGTATCCGCACCTACGGATCGTGCTTTTTATTATCTTTCTCTCTCTCTCTCTCGCATCCCTTCGGATCGCGTGGAATTCAATCGCATTAAAGGGCCCGTATGTGTCACACACAGAAATAGAGTGGCGGAGAGCGAGAGGGCTAATAGAGGCGCACTTAATCAAATTACACTAAATATCCCACATCTACATACAATATTCATAAACGCGGGCGGCGGTTGCTGCTGCTGCTGTTCACGAAACAAATCCCTTCGTTCGTTCGTTCGTTCATCAACTGTTAATCGCTTCTCCTAACCGATATCCCATTAGGAGAATCTCCATAGCAACCCATTGATTATGATATTTTGTTATTGCTGCTATAATGTTCGATTGGTGACAGAACACGTAGCGTAGCAACAAATTGCAACAAATGCAAATCACGATTGATCGAGAGCTAAACGAATGAATCAAAGTGCGCGTATCGAATTAAGGAGGCGCGAAAAATTAAGTCGAGGAAAAAGCCAATCCAATTGACGAAATCGAATTTGGGCGCGTTTCATGCACGAGATGATATGGCAATCCACGAGGTCTCTCTCTCCGATGACCATTCGGTATAAATAGACTACGTGTTTGCATGGTAGCAAGTAAGCAAGCAAGCAAGCAAGTGTGCATACACACATATATATATACATATATTTACTAGAGCTCGCTTCAATTAGGTTTAAATTGTTTCATTAATTAAGGGGCGATCGATCAATCAAACTATTTGAACTAATTTGCTTAAACGGCGAGAACCCAAATTAGATCCGAAGACTACGAATACGGCGACGGATATTTGAACGCAAAGCGAACGACAATGAAAGGGACCGTTCGCATTCCGCAGCCCAGCAATTCAAAGACGGAGGGCTTCTAATCTCTGGTCGAGGATCGCAAAAACGTGCCTCGAGTGGGAGACACCCTCAAACCGTGCGAACCACAACACTAAGACAGGATGTCTTCGACGAGGACAAGTGTTTTGTACCAACGAGTTTCGCGCGCGGCAATATGCAAGGTTCACACCGTTTCACCGCTGTACTGTATAGTTGCAAAGTTACCAACAGATGGCGTATCGCAATTATTGCACTAATTTAACGAAAACAACGCTAATAATAAAATATAATTTGATTTTTTAAATCTTGAAATATGTTAAAAGTACTAGATTTAAAAATAATTACTAAATTGAATTGTTAGATTCAAATTGGAATCTATAAAAACATTATGTTACAAACAAACTTCAACTAATTGAAATTTAAAGAATAAAAAAATGAAACTTTTATTAGAAAATCACATTTTAAGTTCTACTTGGACGTTTTTAATTTGAATTTGAATCTATTCTTGTTCACAATTTTAAAAAAATATATATTTTTGCGATTCAAACGTATAGAATACATATTAAATCGTGTTAATTCACATTGTCTCATTTTTCAAAACTAATTTTAGATAATCACTTATTTACTAAATATTTGATTAGTAAATTCAATTTCTATTAGAATAAATAAATAAAATATGATTTAAAAGATGATACAAAAAGGTTAACTTTAAATATTTATAAGTAATTGAAAATTCGTATTAGAATATCATTGGAAATAAAAAGAAAAATTTTGAAAAATATATTCGAACTAATAATTTTTACTACTGATCCAGAATTAACTTTGTTTTTCAAGCATATAAAAGTATATAATTTGAATTTTAAAAATGTTGAAGAAAATTTCTTTTCATTGCGCATTTTCAAATATTATACTAAGCAAAGTGTTTCAAACTATTTCTATGATTTATAGTTTCCAAATAAATTTGTTTTTATTTCAAATCTTGCAATTAAATTAGATTTAAGTCTACATTATGTTGAGTTAAAATTAAATGTTTCTTGTTTAATGTTTGCATGCAAAAGTATCAATTGTATTTACCTTATGGCTTTCCCCGAAAATCGTGATGCTGGTTGTGGGGAGTAAATCCCCGAAAACGGTTCCCAAAAAAAGGAAAAGCGGAAATCTAGTGGAGTCGGCAAGAAAAGAAAGGTAGACGAAAAAAAAAACTGCGACCACTTGGCGGATGCGCGCACTTTACTCTGATCTAGACTGAAGAATATTTGATGATATTTCAGCTGGAAAACTGCGGAAAATCCGAAACGCGACTATGCATAAAAATGTAGTAGTAGATGTACGACGAGTCTGAATTTCTGTTGTTGATGTTTATCGATGACAAAAATGTTAGGTGATTGTCAGCAGCAGAGGAGCAGCAGCAGCAGTTGCGTTGCTGTGATCGCGATGCTGATGGACGAAGCACGGAGCAGCATCTCTCGCATCATCGGAGGAGCAGCCACCGCCGTAGATGACGGGATGTGGGATCGCGTTGCCATGGGAGGATCCAGACGGGCGACGCCTGCGCCGCGACGCCCGTCGTTCCGAGGGGCGGTGCCATCGGTTAGGCTGCTCTCATAATAGGGGGGCCGCGAAAGGGATGGTTGGAAAGAGTGAAAAGAGTCTTGGAACGGGTGGGAGAACGAGTGAGAGGGGTGGCGGCGGCGGCGGCAAACCGCTTCCTCGCGAGCTATGGTGGGGAGGAGAAGGAGGAGGAGGCGGCGGCACGTGTAAAGATTCACCCGATTTTTCTTCTAAATGGCGGGGGCGGCGATGCCGATGCATTTTATACATTGAGCGGATAAACTGCGTGAGTGTATCTTCGGCACACAACCACCCACCACAGCCGCCCCTCTCTCTCGCATGTGTATGTGTGTCTATACATACTAGAGCCACCTCTTCCCCTCAGCGCCTCTTTTCATCCCTTTCATTTATTTATTTATTTGTTTAAGGGAAATTGACCCTCCGAGTGGTGGTGTGTTGGCGGCGGCGGTGGTGGGACGGCTTCGGCCGAGGCAACCCCTTTTTCTTATTATTGTGTTTCTGAGTGCTAAAATCCATTCCAGAAAGTAATTCCGCGCTCGTAATGGGGACAAAAAGTCTCTTTCTCTCTATTGCCCCTCCAGCACATGCCGTGGTGGTGGGGAATGGGTGGCATGTGGGAAGGAGGTTGAGGAGGCGGCGGCTCTGCGGCGACATCTCTTGGATGAGATTTGCACGATGCGGGGTCATTAATGATCATTTTCGGATAAATGACTTTCGGGACCGATGATACGGATTCCGGTACCATTTATACCTCCTCACACCATCCTCATCCTCTCCGGGATTTACCTCCTCCTTCCACCACCGAAAACCACAACATTTGACATTTCAATTACCCACGAATTCCCTCCCCCGCAAACCGAATAGCGTGTGCAAAAGGGAAAGAAGGACAGAGACAGAGAGAGAATCGCTTTGATTAATGGTGATGATCGTGCTTGTATAAACAACTTTGCTTTTTCTATTTATTACAAATTGATTTAAACAAAACAAATAATGCAAGACGGATAACCGCAAGTCTGAAACGTCAGATTATTTGATAAATCATCTAAAATGAGTATACATCATGTAAAGTGGATATATCAAAAAATTGATATACAACAACATGGAAGCAAAATTCCTAAACGAAATTCAATATCAAACATAAATATTTGTCAGAATAATCTTAATAAATGTAAAGTGAATTAATTATATAAATAACAAAAACAAGCGAATAAACAAAATGGATGCCAATGAAACGTACATACGAGAGATTATTTTGAAAGGGCTTAAATAGTGAAATTAGTAATATTGTCAAGAAAGAATTTTAAATACTCTTTCATTCTAATTAAATTCTATTTTTTTGGGCGTTATTGATTCATTCAGTGTAATCGAATGTTACGGTCTTTTGTCGAGGAGGATCACCGGAGTCCGGATTCGGTGCAGGTAATTAGCCCAGCACACCGTACATGTGTATGTGTGTTTATTTCAGTGTGTATACGTATATATAAGAGAGAGAGAGAGAGTTTGTGTGTAGGTGCAAATTGGCTTAGAGTTAATTGAAATGGAGCCCTCGTGTATAATCCTTTGGAAGGTAAAACCCTGGCCGTGCAGCCAACATCATCACCCCGTCCGTACTACACATACACAAACACACACACTTTATATATATGAAAGCTTGTGTGTATGTATGTGTGTGTGTGCAATTAGTGGCCTGGGGCGTATATTAATAGCCTCCCGTTCTTTATATTAATTATCCCTTTTAATATTAATAAAGCTACGCGAGACTCGAGGAGATTTTCGGCCAATGGGATTTCGCTCAACTCTCACACAAAAACATACACGTACACAGATAAGTACACAGAAAGAGAGGCATGATTGAAAAAGGATGTGTTAGAGAGAATAAAGCGCGAAGATAAAAAAAAAGAGTAAATATATATAGAGAGAGAGAGGAGGGATAAATGGATGTAGGAGGAGGTCGACGAAAAACGGACCGAGGGTGGATTTCTAAAGGGTTAATTTTCCATAAAAGAAAAAATAAACGATGTGAAAGAGAGAGACTAAAAGTCATACATTTTCGAGGCGTAAATCGCTTTGCTTTCTTAGCATTTGCCCTTCCATCAAAATTCAACTTTTACGTATGTTTTTAATACTTTTTAATTATCAATCAATCAATTAATTTTTATGGAAAAGAAATGTTAAAAAATTTCACTTTATCATTTTTCAATATTTAGCTCTGATTTGAGCTGAACGAACGGACCGAGAGAGCATTACAGATATCGGATAATCGAGTTCGGAAAATTCGGTGGGAAAATTCGATATCATCGATTCGGTACGCGCATCGCGAATACACACACATAACATACTTGCGAGTTTGGGGGAATTTCGGTGTCTGCTAACTCGATTCAATCAGCAGCTTTGTAATTATCCCCCCTGTGCCGCCGCCGCCCCCGAAATGTCTCAAACGTGATAAGTTAAAGGGAATCGCGAGAAAGAACGTGTATGTGTACATGTGTGTGTGTTTGATGGAATTAAGTCTTCGGCAATAAATGAGGCACACGAGTTGGTTCGTAATGCAATTTGGACGAAGAAGGGAACCAACCGCCACCGCCTCCGATTCCTCCTCCACAACGAAACAACACCACCTGCTCCCCCCACTGTACATTTAATCCAACTCCGAAAATAAAATCACGTTTTATTTTACTTCCAATTTGTACTTTTCTTTCGCCTTTATTTTTCGTCCACCCTGACTGCCGTCTCCTCCGCCGCCGAAAGAACTTTATGTACATGTATACATAAAGAAGTGTATATACGTATATACACAGCAGAGTAGGATGAATTTTAATTCTGGGTCGAAACGCAATTTCCGAGCCGCAAAAAGTTTCCGCTAAAGTATTCTAATTAAGTTATGTTTAATTTATACTTGATACGCGCGGATTTTTGGATTACCCGGATTTAATCTTCAACTTAATTACGAAGTTGCCGCGAATATATTTTCGCAGCCGCTTCCCCCATCGTTCCGTGTTTTCTTTCATTCTTTCTTGATTCTACCGACTAATGAACGAGTCGCCGAATTGTTTTTAAATAATTAGAAAACCGAGAGGAACACTTGCTGCACGGATTGCGGTCGGCGACAGTGGCGCCATCTTTTCGCCATTAATAATCCGCAATCATCCACCGTCGCCTCCACCAACGCTGCCGTCTGCAATAAACCGGAAGTGCAATTACAGCCGGCATGAATAATGACTAATTCCACTCTTCTGCGTTATCATTGTTATTATCGCGTTTCCGCTTCCGGCAGTTATTAATTCCCTTAACAATTCTATTTCATCTCTGTCTCCGCGCTTTCCTCCATTTTCTCGTTTCGCATTGTCCCACTCCATCCACCCTGTATATATGTATTATTTTCGCCGTTGATGGGATGTAATTACTTGGCACTTTTATATATATATAAAGAGTATAAAGTTGATGTGCATTCATCTCTCTCTCTCTGTCCCTCTCATACTTTCTATATCTGTATGTGCACATCCTTCTCTCTCACAACGAGGCAGTCACGAAACACTCTCTTCTTTTGCTTCTCTTATTTTTCCGTCGGAGCCGAGGCCCGAACGTTGTTTCCCTTTTACGTTCTGCTTGCCAGCTTATGAATTCATTATGAGATCATTTCGAATAATGTTTATGAATACACTATTAATACTACTTTTCATACAATACAATCCAAACGGCTTACAGCCGCCGACGACGCCGCCGCCGTCTCCTACTCCTCCTCCTTCTTCTTTCCCATCCCTTCCTTCAGCTACTTTCGCAATTATTTTTGCGCAAACTTCACCCTTCAATTAACTTCCGCTCCTTACGTTCTTTTATTATCCGGCGCCACCCCTTACTTTAATCCCATCCTCCCACTTCTCCGCAAAAACAAACTGACCTTTCTCCTTTTCTTCCCTATTTATAGCCATTCAATTTCCCCCGCTAAAATGAGATGAATATACCACCAACTAAACAAGCAATTTGACTTTCATTTACATGTGAACTCATCTTAATGATGACAATGATTCACGAATAAAAAAGACGAACACTTTTTCTTAAAAGTACTCTTCAACTATTCACACAATAGCATTCTTATTCTTTCATATCATTTTCGATCTAAACCAAAAGAAATCAAATAATACACAAACGGAATACAAATGCATCAGACATTGGAGGCGGCAGTAGAATTGATTTATATACCGGAATGCTGATGTTGGAAAGTTCGAAATCATTGCGTGTGCAAATTGGAGCGGTTCGAGTTGCACATACAACACATACACACACACATACAGAACCAGAGTTGATGGGAATTGCAGTTTTGCGCCGGTGGCGGAGATTGAAAGTGTTTCAGTTTGTGCAACCGCCGCCAACAGCCCCCTGCCATCCCATCCGCACAGTCGGTGCCCTCGGGGGGGACACGTGGGGGGCGGCAATGATTTATCGGGGGTGTCCGGATCGTTCAGCGGCTGCCGTCCATCTAGTACCGCCTCCGACCATGCAAAATGCATACATTACGAGTGTATGTGCGTGCATCCGCCGCCGCCTCTACCGACCATAAATTGCGGCCAAACGTGATTTACATGCGCTCATTAATCCCACCGAATTGAGAAACTTCATTTTGCGGCGAGAAACGTTACGATATTTCATTTTTACACAACCATTTAAATTCAAGCTAAACTTTCCCTAAAAAAATAATTGTAAATGACGTTTCATATTGAACGCACTTCAACATGTCATATTTGACAGAATTTTAATAAAATCAAATTGTCCGCACTTTATAACTGTTCAATCTGCGTAAACGTAATTGATATTCGGCGAATGCAAATTAATCAGACATCAACTGCTACACGTTTCAAAATAATTAGTTCGAAAGCGGTGATGATGGATGATTAACTAATTACGACGTATTAAACGTGACAGCTGCCTGTACTTAATTGAAAGAACAATTGATGCATCCTGAGACTCATATTTCCGATTGCATCGGTTTTCGAAGGGTGATCTTCGCAGGAAGAAGCCGTTAATACATTATGTTATCCGAAAAGATTACGGTGCGATTTGAGGAGAGGGGAAAAGGTTATCCTTTAACAAATTACGTGACGTTGGCGGTGTTAAATGGCGTAATCTTTCTGCGTTCGGATCGCTCGTAAAACCGGTAAATTCCGATTCGATTTTGGGGGATGGGAAGAGTTTGCTAGTGAAAATTCGGGGTGGTTTTGCGCAACGCGAGGTAAAAAAAATGTTCGAACATTTATTTAAGCCCGGGGGGTGGGTGGCGAGCGTCCTCTCCTCTCCACCCGCTCCAGTCGAATAATCGGGTTGCGGGGGCGCAAATGAGTTATTCATTCTGGATTTATGACGGCATCACGTCGAATTTATCTCAGGGGGCGGCTGAGGCTGCTCCACCCGAACGCACGAAGAAACGGCCGTGCATATTTCGTTAGCGCCGCTCCAAAATGGATTACATTTTAAATTTAAAAATGTTGCAAAGCGCTCATACACACACACACATACACACTTTTTATTCCTTTTCCACCCCTTAAACCCATCTTTATGTACACGTTTTACGGTTATTGTTGCATCCCTCTGACTCTCTTTCTCCACCAACCACGAAATCGACCGCTCTTCCGCTCGCGCCAAGTGATTCACTGAAAGAAACAAAGAAGAGAGAGAGAGAGAGAGAGAACCTGCACTTTTAAGCCGCCCCCATCAAATATTTAAAGCCACCCCTGGAACGAGCCGTCCCTCCCCCTTCTTTTAAAATCTTCGAAAAACAATACCCGAATTAATAATTATAATCGTCGTGAATAATTCACTTACGTTTCAAGCTTTCAGAATCTACATTTTTTCATCATTTTTTCCAAACCCCTCGGAGTTGTTGTACATCCGTTGGGGAGCCGCGACCGCGAAACCTTTTCCGTAATTGAATTTTTATCTCAACGTAATTGAAGTATTAAATATTAAGAAAATACTCGACGGGAGGCGGCTCACCTGGAATCGCAGAAAACCCCTTTTTTTCCACCGCTCCTTTTTTACCGCCTCCTGTGTGTATCTCCACTCCCGCGGAATTTTTAAAATATTTATCGCCGCGTCGCCCTTGGGGTGAAAAAGCATCTCTTGTCTCGCAACTCGGAAGGCTTTACTGAAAAGGGAACACATATTTTAAACTTGTTCTTAGTTATCAAATTACATGTAACTATAATCCGATTTATGTTAGAAAAAAAATTGTTTTCGTGTGAATTAAAAAAGAAAGCTAATAATATCCCGGCACATCCACCCAAAATAAACAAATAATTTATAACATTTTATCTAAATATTTAATAAGTAATGTTTACTGCAAACTTAATTCCTATTACAAACTAGTAGTTTTAATATATTGCTTCTTGCAATTGATTCAAATTTAACTGGATAAAATTCTACTTTAAATTGCAAGTCGAGGACGGAATAGTTGAATTACGTATTGACATCGTTAGGAGAGCGACTTAAGTGTTTTCGCTTTGCTTTCAAGTTTACGCACTCGCTGCCCGATTCACTTGCTTTATTTTTATATTTTATTTATTCCTTTCGCTTTGAGTCGAATGCGGAATGCATGTGCTAGATAGAGAGAGAGAGAAGGAGCAGGGAAGAAACCGTAAGTGGGTTTTCGGGAGCGCAGCCGTAACGAGATAAAACAGATTTAGCTTGAAACCTGCTTGATCTCGTTAGGGATCATCGGCATCTCGGATGTGTGTGTATCGTCGTCGTCGCCGACGACAGTCCTCTAGGGCACATTGCTATGCAATTTTGTCACCGGAAGCGGAAGAGAGCGCGAACGATACGCGCCCCTCTGGGATGAATATAGAGTGTGTAATAGAGAGAGAGAGAGTGCACAGTCTCATCCACTTCCGCTTCCGATTTTATTGAATTATCCCGCAGCAAAGAACTCGGAACTACACGCGGCAATGCGAGAGACACACCCAAAGCATGAGATGCGTATAAAATAAAAGAAGGCTTAGCAACAATAACTTCTGTTATTTTTTTAGATTAATACTTATTGCATCTATTTTTGAAGTCCGTGAATTTTGTTTAATTTCGTGAGTTGGTATTGAAATTAACTAATTGACGTACCGTGTGTCACGTCAAGATGAGCTCCCATCCCAGATTTTCGGAACAGGACGTGGAGAACGTGCGCAGGGGTTTCGCGGCGGACCATGGAAGATACATCGCGCTCATGGATCTAAGCCAACTGCTGAGTAACGACACCGTCGAGTCGCAGCTTCCAAGCGCCGAAGTCGTCCTGCATCGTCCTCTACCAGGTAAATCATATAAACCAATTAACAAAACAACAACAATTTATAAACACAAATACTAACCGCTCAAAATGAATTGCTTGTTAATTTCATCAGAGCTGGGACCTCTGCATCCCTCGATGGTGGAGATTCCGAACACCGTGGCCAACATGGACTTGGAGTCGCTCAGCTCACCATCTCCGCCGATACCGAGAATGATGAAGAATCTGCTGAAAGATAGACGTCGCTTTCATAGGCAATTCGTATCCGCTTCATCTACGGCTCATTCCCACGACTACGACGAAGAGATCGTCGCCAGGGCGCATAGAGCCATGGAAAACTTTCAGCTGAAGGAGATGTTCAAGCAGGAGCAGGACGAACCTCGCCCTGAAACCGAGAAGGAATTCTGCAAGGAGCTGCTATTCGCCTCCATAATAAATCCCCCAGATGTATAAACATCGAGAATTCAAAGAAACATACACTATAAATATTTTCAATACAATTTAGTTTCAAAATAATTAGTTGAAAGCGATTAATAATTAACGAAAAGGAGAAACTATTTAAGATATTAATATGCAACCAGTTGCGCTTAATTAGCATTACTTAAGTTTGAAAAAAAATAAATTAATTAAATGAGAGTGTTGAGATGTCGGATTTGAAGAATAAGTTTTGTTGTTCGGTTATAATTGGTTTTGTTGGATCGATTTGCGGTAATGTATTGTTAAGCGGTTGGTTGAAGTGTTTGTTGGTTTGAAGTTGGTAACAGGAGGAACAACAACAACAAAGTGACGGTCTGATATCGCAACCGACCCCCCCCAAGTGTTGATGTTGAAAGAGGACGGAGCGATGCGGAAGGGGTTGGAGGAAGAGGGCGGACGAAACGTGCGTCCGTGATTGAACGTTGCGAGAGGGCGGGCAGGGGGTTCGCGCGGAGGCACCCCGCCGGAGGTATGAATAATGAATAAAGTTATCGTTTAGTTCATATTTTTGATGGGGTACGGCAGAGCCAAATAAAATTTGCATCTGTAAGAGATATGGCGAGATCAAAGGACGTCGGCCCCCCCGTCGCCTCGTCCTCCTCCACCTCTCCCTCCTCACCACCAGCAGAACACACAGCGCCACGTCGCCGCCGCCGCCGTGGAACCCGCGCGTCCATCTCCTTGAAACCCTGCCCCCTATGTATCACTCTCGCTCACTACACACATACACATTTGGATGGTTTTCGAAATGTAGTGGGAGGAGTAAACATACAAGCGCACACACACACACAAAATCCAAATAAAAACTGGTATGGGGGTTGGAGGGGGTCGCGTCGGATTGCCGCCGCCGCCGCCACCACCCTCCCCCACGTTTTGTTGCCCATAGAAGAGGCTCTTAAGGTCCTTCCGGGGTTTTTAGGGGTGGCGGCGGATGATTTATCGCCCGCACAATTGCATCAACTTCTGCTCGCCGATTATGTCCTCTTTCTTTCCCCATTCATTCCGCATAATACACTCTCGTGATTTTTTCTCCTCCCCCTCTCTCTCACTTATGATTAATAACCCGGCAAGCTCATTACAATAATACCGCATCATCAGAACTAATCGAAAGAATGAGATCTACAAGATGTTTTCTTTTCACCGCATTCTAATTATAAATGAAATGTTTTGCAATACGTTACGATTTCGTCTGGAACGCAGAAGATCCGGAAGTTTGAAATTCACACCTCGAAAGGACGCGCACGATCTTCTTACCACCAAAACTCACCGTTTGTTGATTCGTTGCTATAGCAAATTACATAAAACCACAGATACCAACCAATCCCAATTAACTAACAATTAAGTTATGACACCAACATTGTAAAGTGGGTTACCTATCATTACAGTTTTTTTGATTACTTAAATTTATACCGGCGCATCCACCCGAAACTAGCGAATTATCAATTTCATTTATTCTCTATGAACTAAATCGTTGCATTGAATTAAAGCAGCAAAAATCATGATAGTTATCACATAAAATAAGAAATATATTTTTTTTAGGGTTTTTCATTTTTTTTTTGGATGAAGGAAAGTTGTGATGGGGCAAATAAAATAACGGATTGTTTGCGTACGATTTGGAGTTTTATACGCGGAAAATTGGAATGGAAATCTCACAAATTACAGTTTGGTTTTTATTTGCTGCTGAAATGGGAAAACATCTTGAGTCTTGAGTGTGTGTGTACGAGAGAGATGAAACAAAGGGATAACGTATCGAAACAACAAGGAAAAGGGGGAAATATGCTGAAATTGCGGATCTGCGAAGGAAAACAAGTTGAATGAAAACAGACAAACGGTATTTGTTTCCAATCTGAAAACTATTACGAATATATCCATCTATATCTGTGTATTGGTTCTGGGGGGTTTTATTTTTGGTGGGGTGGTAATATTTTTTTTTCTTCTTCTGCCATCGGCGATCCGCGGAAAACTAGCTCCATCCGATGGAGGAAGATGGAATCCGGGAAAACTTATTTGTTTTTCTCCTTTGTCTGCGCTCACTTTATATATTTTATGTTGGGGAATTGGACGAAATTGATATATATCTTCTCTATACATATATATATATTTGTGTCGTTCGATTCCGCGGGGGGGTGAGAGGTATGTTTTTTTTTAAGGTTAGGTTTGATCAGGCCATATAGATCCAATTTTTTGCGGGGTGCTGGGGGGTTCGAAGAAGAAGAAGAAGAACGGTTTCGTTTCCATGGATGAGAAGAGTGTGAGTGATAAAAAGAGAGGGATGTTGGATAAACAACGTTTTATATACGAGGCGGCATCAATAACAAAGTCGCAGCGACCAATGCTCGGGCGTCGGCGAATTCCACCACCCCCCAACCCCATCCCCACACACCACATGCTGTTACCCCCTTTCCCCGGGGGCGCCAATAAACCTCCAATAAAATCCAATCTTTGCGCGCGCCAAACCCCCAAAACGCAATCCCCATTCACGTTTCCCTCTTTTTTTTTTGTTTCTCATCCACTTCTTCTTACTCTCATTTCTGCTTTTTCAACCCCGCTTGCAACCAAACACACGCTCGCACTTCTCCTGAGAACTATTTAATAAGCAATCAATGAAACCGATCATCGCTTCCTGATGGAATCTCGCATCCAATAACGAACCGATTTCGGCCCTGCGGCGAATCCCCCATCTCTTTTCCATCGATTTCCATTTTTTTTGCGCGACATCTGCTTTCAACAAATACAAATTACTTTTGACAATTACGCAACTTTGTAATTTAATTTCATTTCAATTCAAGCATTAGTTTCACCAATTTACCTTTTCAAATTTACATGAAAACAACATTTTAACAATTCAATTAAATAAAAAATAAATTGCGCTTTACTAATGCACTCTATTGAAATTAATTGAAACTGATTATGTTTTTCTAAATTAAATTCGTATAAATTTGTTATTAATTAATAACAAAATCATATAATTAATCGTTTATTTATAATTATTTTGAAAGAATCGTATTTAAAGTGCTGTGCGCAGTGCAAACGAAGTGCGCGTTCACTAGCGGACGCCCCTGCGTCATTCTAAAAATAGACTCTTCCATTTTCGAATCCGACCAATCGGTGCGCGTCTTTAAAAAAAAAGCGTACGTTGGCGATGCTTCCACTGAGTGAAATGTGCGCGTCGGTTCTTCGTTGTGAGTAGTTTTTGATTGTTTTCCTGGTGTTTTCAGTGGTTAATTCGATTGGGAATGCAACGAACACGATGGGAACGTTAAACGTGAGTAAATTATATTCTTATTAAGCGCTGGATTCATGTATTTTTGTTGCTGTTATTAATGTTATTGTTCGCAGTTCGGACGATTCATTCGAGGTTATAATTCGTATGTTTCATTTCCAGATGCTCGCGTCCAAAAACAAATGCGATTTCACGAGATTATGATCCAGTTTAGCTTGTTTTCCAGAGAATATTTGAGTATGCAACTTGCATGACTCATTGGTTACATATGCAACCAATTCCGTCCAATTCCAATTAGAAATCGTGGATAAATTTCGTCAGGTGAGAGAATTAAACGTAATTACATATTTAAATAATAATGTTTATTGCATAAATATATATAATTTCAAAAAAGTCAACTGATACAAAGGGCTATTGATTACATTTTTATTGTATATTCAAATGCATAATTCAAATTATTTATTTTCACAGGGATCTTTGGTAAAACGAAATATGCAATCCAATTGGCAATTCAGGATAAACCTATTATCTCAAGTTATGGTATTGTTACTGCAGGAGGAATTTGCTAATTCTGCAAAACTTTAGCTACAATGCCATGGTAAGAGATCATCCTCTAAGTCTTTCTCAAAGTTGTGTATTGTTAATTTTAATATTCCAAATGTATTTCACTATAATAATTCTTATGGCTTATTTTCAGTTCTATGTTTTCTACGTTGATGGACGAATTGTTGGATAAGGAGGATGAAAAATATACAACACATTTTAGAATCCAATTAGACGAAACTGTTAATTTACTGAGAGGTGACTGATTCGTATTTATTCATCAATTTTAATTTGCATCAATGAAATAATCAAATACACTTTATTAATATAAACTTTTTATTTTCAGCTCAACGTTGATTGGAAATCCCTCATAGAGATTTCATGAAAACATCTTGATTTGGAAATGCTGGAACGAATTGCAACCAGATTCACAAAGCATTTAGAGACACATGTGAAGGACTTCCAGGTGAGAATTGTTCTCTTAAATTTATTTCCTCAATAATTCTAAAATTTCCTACATTAAAATCAACCATTTTGATTATAATTTATGTGATAACTGAATTATGTTGTTATTTTATAAAATATTTGTACAATTTTCATCTTATCACAATTTAATAAGATTTTCTAAAAATGTGAAATATTCAAATAATTTAAATATATACATTTCAATACCTTCTTCGATTGTTTTTGGTTGATCACAAATTAATATATCACTAAATTGATTGAAAATTACTAATTATAATTGTTGTTCTTTTCAATCGATGTAGTGAAATCATTCTCAATTTCACTACATAGATTCAAATTATTTAAATATACACAGACACAATCGAAGGCAGTTTTGATCACTTCAATACCTTCTTCGATTACTTGTGGTTGATCAGAAATTAATGTATCACTTTATAAATTGATTCAAAATTACTAAATTTTCACTATCTCAACTAAAATTATTTATATAGATAGTCACAATTGAAGAATGTTTTGACCATTTCACAAGGCCTTCTTCGATTGCTTGTAGTTGTTAAGAAACTTTGCTTTTATTGTATGTATGAAGAAGTTTCTTTGACAGAGTCTATTTATGATATGACTCTCCATTGAATTTATAAGTTCAAACATATTAATATTAACTCAATATTTATATATCATTAGTTAAATTAATAATTATTTATTGGTATATTAATTTCTAGAAATTAATTAATATTTTCTAATTTAT